ATGTTGTGGTCATGTTTTCTGGTCATGTTTTCATATATGAACATAGAAAAGTTTTGTCCTGTTTGTTCTACTCTCTTTCCTATTCTCATCACACCTCCCTTCCCTTCATTCCCCTTTGTCTAATCCAATGAACTTCTATCCTTTCCTTTCCTCTCCCACTTATTGTGTGTTAATATCTGCATATTAGAAAGAACAGTTATCCTTTGGTTTTTTGGGATTGGCTTATTTCATTTAGCATGATAGTTTCCATTTCCATCTATATATGGACAAGTGTCATAAATTCATTCTTCTTTATGGATGAGTAAAATCACATTTTTAACCCATTCATCTTACTATCCTTTGTTTGATAATTTATTTAATACTTTTAACAGCCCCTATAGTAGATAATGCATTGTAAAATAACAGACCTATTGGATGGCCCCTTTTATTTGACTCATGCTTACAGATCCTAATGAAACCTTTTGTTCAACAAATAATGATTGCTGTTGTTTCCTCCAGTCTCTAAGGATGTAATTATTGTTGGAAATTGATAATTCAATTAAAAATATGATTAGGTGTACTGTTTTCTAATCTTCTGTTCCACCCATGATTTGCTTGCCAAAAGTTTTGTGACTATATTCTCTTCTACTGATTTATGATGCATAAATTCATATTAAAACTTAGTAGTTCTGCTTTGCTAATGCTAGCATTTTCCAAATTGATTACATGACACATATTTATTGTTTTTCCATTAATTGAAAAAACAATTGAGTTATTTTAGAATAATTGGTACATATTGGTTTATGGTTTCTATTTCTCTCCTGTCATTAAATCTTTTTATTCAAGAGCAAGGAAAGGTAACAATATAAATGAGTAAGATTTATATTGGAGGAGTACTCTGGTGGGAATCATGGAATCTAGGGCCTCTCAAATTTACCATATTGGTAGCCATTTGCTTTCTTTACAGCAATTTTTATAAAAAGTATTACTTACCCATGGATTCTCATCCCACATTAATTTTTAAAAGATTAAATATTGACTCACTAGATAAAAGTGACTATATTTTAATTTTCCTATTTCTCTCTTCCTCCCTCTTTCCTTTCTTCCTTCTCTTTCTTTCAAAATTGCACCACTGACCAACTGGAATATTTGAAAGTGTCCAGATGTGCAGTCAAATTATATGAAAGAATTTGAAAATAATTTGGATAGTTTTGATTACAAAGCAAGCCTGTGAGTAAGATTATATGAATCCTTGTGTTATCTATTATAAAACATTTTCAAAACAAATCGGAAAAAGGGAGGTAGTCAGGGTACTTGCATACACAGAATTTGGAGTTAGAGTAGCTCTATTACATCCAACTAAATTATGAATCTCTCTGAGACTCAGTTTCCTTGGCTATAAAGACAGTAAGAGAACTTACAAAGTTGCTGAGAGGTTTAATAAGTGTAGTACAGTGGTTAACATAGGTATACTAAGCACTAAAGAAGTTTGCTATTATTTTAAATCTGCATAAGAACATAAACGTTCAATTCAGTTGTCTCTGATAAAAAAGCTAACTCAAAAAATTAAAAATTAAAGCGATATTAACCATCTGTCTTCTTTCTTTTGTGGCACTGGGATTGAACCCAGTGGTGTTCTACCATTGAGCTCGGTCCCCAGCCCTTTTTATTTTTATTTTGAGATAGGGTCTTACTAAGCTGGGGGCTGGACTTGAACTCGAAATTCTCCTGCACCAGGCTTCCAAGTAGCTGGGATTACAGACTTGCACCACCTTGTCTGACATTTAACCATCTATATTTTAAAAATCAACCACATTTTCCATAAACTTCTTTCCTTTTGAAATTCTGAGTAAGAACTGACCAATCAAAGGAATTGCATAAGATGTGAAGGCAAAATGGAAGTAGAATTTATTAATCCAAAAGGCCTTTAGGAGTCATCCATGGTGTACAGTGGCTAGAGTGTTATTTTAACTCTTACCTGTTGTCTCCTGAAGTAAAATACATTTAAAGGGCAAGTCAAAGGAAGAGCTTATGGAAGTCTAATAAGTTTGACTTGAGTCTGTCTTCAAATGGGGCCTAGGAGTTCCACCCTCCTCACAGATATTGTCTTAATGCTGGGAGGTATTTGGCATAGACATACTCAGACACTGATAGAACCCCTGCCCCTCATTAGTGTTAAGATTGTTGGAACAAGAGCTTGTATGGTGGTAATGTTGATGGAAGTTCCTAGAATTCGAAATTAAATCAATAAATGCTTCCCTGAAGGGGTTTCAGAATTTCCTCTACCATTAAGGATTAGAAGGATGCAGGGGTAGTAAATTATCATTCCTTTTTAAAAAAATATTTATTTTTTAGTTGTAGTTGGGCACAATACCTTTATTTTACTTATTTGTTTTTATGTGGTGCTGAGGATTGAACCCAGGTCCTTGTCTGTGCTAGGCAAGAGCTCTACCACTGAGCCACAGACCCAGCCCCTGAATTATCATTCTTTTTGCCTATTATCCGCTGAAGACAGAGGATTTGAAGAAATACATTGGTTTACTACAAACAATCAGATGGTGCCCCCAATTTCAGTTGTGGTTACATATGTATTATAAGAGCAAATGAATATTTTGGGGGACCTAGAAGAAAAATGTTAAATTATTTTATTAGTGAAAACATCACCAGCAGTTTGGTTTAATTCAGCAATTATTTCCACTGTCTGCACTTAGGGCTTTCTAACCCACAGGGGCCACAGTCCCTTCTATATTGCATATGATAACATATTGGTCTACCTCAACAATGATTTCCTGTTGATTGGATTTGGTGAACAGGAAGTTGTAGCTAATAATACTATATAGACACCTTAATAATATTTATGAGTGCCAGAATGTGAGTTAAATCCTTTAAAATGTTGGGGACTTTATACCTTGGTAAAATTTCTAGGATTGTTGAGATATGGCTTTTAAGGTGAAGGACAAGTTTCTACCCCTGGCCCTTTCTAAGAAAGAGATATTAAAAAAAAAAATACCGAGTTGGGCAGCTGCAGTAATTTAAACCTCATTTGGGAATGATGTTTTCTGAGACTTATTAATGAGTAACTGTAGACTTTCAGTTTTGTGTGATGCACAGAATAAGAGGTGAGTCTACAACCAGTCCAGGCTTCTGTAGAAGATATTATGCTCTGTTTTGACTGTATGGCACTTAAAGAATCACTCAAACATGAAGATCCTGGATGGAGCTTCTGGAAGGTTCCTATTGGTGAATCATAGTAAGGTCTCTGGGATTTTGGAGCAAAGCTGTGCAGTTTTCTACAAATAATTCTTTTTGCTCTCAGAAGCCATTTTGGGCTTGCTACTAGATCTTAGCAAATGCTAAATGCTTGGCTGTCACCAAATTCTCATGTAACCTTTACTGCGGATTTTAAATTTGATAATGAATGATACTCAAAGCCTATGCACTGATTACCTGAGTACATCATTACAATCATCAAGTGTACCAGATTAATCTTGAGCACATTCCGAAAGCATAAATAAATTCCAAACAGATTTTATTACTAGGGATCCTACTATGGTTGCATTGCCTCCTTTCTTCCAACTCATACCTACCTAAGGTCTCATGGAGTCTTTCTCATGACTAATTAACTGACATAGAAAAATATCTAGGTTTGGTTTGCTAATAGTTCTTTGCAATAGACTAGCATCACTCAGGTTTATAGCTGTATTCTACACCTGCACAGAGAGGTGATATTACATGGGACTACTAAGAAAAATTCTTAATCCTTTTAGTTAGAAAGAATGTGCATCTGGCAATTCACTTTATCTGAAAGGAAAAATTGCCAGAACAATTATATACAGTAATTTGTGCTTTGCAGCTCAAGATTTGCCTGCTTTGGCAGGCACTTGGAGCATGATCTAAAAATTAGTGACAAGGAAATCTGGGGGTGGATAGAGTATGTAGATGAACATCCTTGAATAGCCTACATACTTATATTCCATTTGACTGTTTACCAAAGAGCTCACTTGGGAGAGAAGGACAGTAATTATCAAGTAGGTAAGATGATGTGTCTTATAGATGTTGGCCAATCTCTTTCACCAGCCACCTTTATACTTGATCAATGGGCTTATGGACAAAGAAACAAATGATAGCAGGAGAGGAAATTATGCATGGACTCAGCAACATGGGCTTCCTTTCACTCACCAAAGTTCGTCTAGATAAAGTGTCTGTTGAGGGTTCAAGGTAACAATTGCAGAGAAGATATGGAGCCATTCTGAAGAAGGACAGGCCACCTTGATGGTAGATTGATTACATTAAATTGCTTCTATCAAAAGAGATGCAATGGCTTATTCTCACAGAAATAGTCACTTACTCTGAATTGAGATTTGCTTTCTCAACCTGCTATGCTTCTGTCAAAATACCATCTGTGAACTTAACAAATGTTTCATTCACTGATTTGGTATTCCATACAACATTGTTTCAGTTCAGAGAACTTGTTTAATAACAAATAAAATGTGGCAATGCTCATGCTCATGTAAATTTCCTACCAGTATCCCTTTCACCCTGAAGCAGATGGCATAACAGAATGATGCAATGTCTGTTTTTTAAAAACTTCTGGCACTAGCTAGTAGAAAATACTTTGGAGGTCTGAGGTAATATCTTAGTTCTAAGATGCTGTATATGTTCTAAATCATTGACCAATATGTGGTGCTATTTCTACCAAGACTCATAGATTCAGCAATCAAGGGATGGAATTGTGATTGCCTTCCTTATTTATTTTTCTTCCTTCTCTTATTCACCTACTGTCTTTCATAAGATGTATGGATACTGGTTAATGTTACATTTCAGCAATTAAGTCAAAGGAGTTCCATAATTAGGAAAAATCTAGAAACCAAATTTCCCCAATGTTAAGACTAATTAATTAAATGTAGGTGAAAATAATGAAAGAAGTGTCAAGTACTGTGAAAGTTTTGAGGTCTTACCCTACTCACAATATATCAAATTCATCAGTCATTTTTTAGAGCAGAAGACACAAGACTCCTGGGTTAGAGACAAAGGATTTTATTACTCACAGCAATAAAATTGGCCAGAGAATCTGCATTTCCTTGCACTGGTTCTCTGAGCCCCAATTCACATAGGGTAACATGAAGAGAACCAGGTGACATCTGCACGTGTAGGAAGGCTATATTATAATAAAAGAACCTCAATTTTAGAGAGCCTGAAAACTTAAAAAACGGGAAGCAAGCATGTTTGCCCTTTGTTCCAAAGAAATATACTACCTCTGTCTTCCACAATGGTTCATTGTATAAGAGTTCTTTAGAAGAGACTTCAGAACAAAAACAGACAGTGCCTTTTCTTGCCAAACATGTGGAAGTGTGAGAGATCTACGAAGAATTGTCTCCCAAAAGGAAGTTTTACATATTTTATTGAAAAATCTAAGAAACCATGTGAATCATGTACAATATTTTCTCACGAGAAAAATTCTAAGCTGGCTTTTGAACGTTTCACAGAATTGTAAAACTTTTTATTTTTTTAAAAGAAAAAAAAACACAATGAAACTACCATAGTATTACATGCTTTTCGTCTTTTCTGATCCTAAGGAAAAGGCTGAAAAATATTCAGTAAGTTTTCTCATTATGATTTGTGAATCTAAGCACTATACTCTTTCATAAATCTGCTAAACGGACACAAGGAAATGGGTGGATCAATGCTTTCTTTGTTCAAAATATTTAAAAAGCTAAAATCTAATGACAACATGATAAAATAATACACATTTTGTAGGATGTTATCATTTCTAAAACAGTTTCTCTACACTATATCAACAGTGCAATGGTGATTCAGTGTAAATCATTACAGTGTTTCATTGTTACAATACTTGTGTTCAAGTACATGTTCATGAACATGATCAAAGTCTCTGCTTTGACTTTCTTTTCCATTATTAAAATAAGGTTATAATTACAGTAGAATTTTTCCTATGGATGTCCCTAAATCTGAACCAAATTCATAATACATTCTCTAAAAATCTGTTCAACACTATGAGGTTTCTTATGTTTACACATCTCCTGCAGATTACAGAAAATGGGCTAATTCTGCAGCAGGACATAAAAAAAAAAAGAACCATGATTTTCTCCATATATAACTAAACTATGCTAAGGTAGTATAAGCACTGTATAACTCAATGGTATTAGTGGAAAGTAGCACCTTAGAGACAGCCCTAACTTTAACTTAAAAAAAATGTTTTTAAGTCTAATGATCTTTTTTTTTTCATTTTCTTTTTATTAGGGCACTGGATCCAACTTATTCATTCATATAAATTTTGCCTTATAGTATAAATCAAAATGTTTGTATTACCAAAACAAATACCACATTGGATGTTTGGCAGGGAAAAAATAAATTAATTTGATTAAATTATATGTAATCTGCTAATATTTGGTCTGAAAGACATGCTAGTGTGTGTGCTTATAAATAATGTAACTGCAAAGAAATGTGAGCCAGCCAGCCAGCCTGCTAGAGGTCAACTCTTCTGCTGTAGCTTTTGGGCATAGAAGTCCCTGCACGTCTCACAGCAGCGCTGATACCACCGCATGTCCTGACATAGGTTCTTCTCACGGATCACTCGGCAGTATACGGGCCACTGATCACCCAAGCACTTGAAAGTCAGAGCAGCTGTGAAACAGAACACAACAAGTTCAATAATACGTTAATAGAAACCAATTTCAGTCACTTATTTTATGTATTCATTTTGACTCAGACACACATGCACATAGACCTCCCCCCAACAGTATAATAAAGGAATAAAGGGAATGAATACTTCTTACTTATTAACTTTTAAAAGCTTCCTAAAGATAGATTTTCCAGATTCAATGGGTGGTACTTGTCAGTTTCCATGTTATGTCTTTCATTTAAACTTATTTTGGAATTTGGTAGAGAAGATTAAAAAGAAAAATGCATTCAGTGCATCCACCTCTGTGGGAATGCAAGTCAATAAGTGTTCTTATGAATGAAATTACTAACAGACAGCAAAATGAAAATATGCTCACATTTATTTCACATTCCTAGTTTTCTTTATGACAGATAATTATAGGTGAAATATCTGAAGATAATGTCTTCAGGCCTCTGTAAAATCAAAGCTGATTGTTACAAGTGACTAAAATTTGTAACAACAATAAAAGTGTTTAAAAAGAGAATCTGGTATCCGAAAATTTGGTCATGTAGATCTCATCTCAGTTTTTCAGAAATAGTAGAGAAAATGCAACTGTAACAAAATTCTTCTCTTAATCCTTTTTTTTTTTTTTTTTTGCTAGATGATACTTCAAAGACTCCAAGTAATTATTGGAGAAAAAAATTGTGCTGTTATGGAATACATGAATTTAGATCATCTACTTTAGGATTGCTTAACTTTTGTCTTAATTATTATCATTTTACTTGAGCTGATTATTTCTTAGAAATGTTAATTATTTGGCTCAGAAAAGAGAGTTTTTGTATTTCCATAAAAAACCCAAACTTTTCCATTTCATTGACTTCTATGCTTTGGAAAAAGTACATTTTGTAATTTAGCTCCTTGTGTTTTGGCAATTATCCTTCACAATTTAAATGGTTTTTCTGGAGATTATATGTACAGGTTAAAACTCAAGGTATTAAACATAAATTCACCCACTGACAACCATGTAGGAGAGCTGCTAAAAGACACAGAAATAAAAACTAATTAATTCATCAGTATTTGTCATGAAAACACAGGCTACATCTAGTTAAAATGCACACTCTACTTATTGATAATAGATTGTATTAAATAATAGGAATTGAGAATAAATATGGAAACATTTCATAACATAATAACTATATAAATATCTGAATATTACTAGCATTTTAAGATATATGATTATATCCTCAATGGTGAAAAAAATGATACCTCTTGTCCCATGGTGTAGTTCTATTCACCTGTTCCTCATGAAAGCCATGTTTTACTCTATGTCTTCTCAAAGATAATTTGTACCCAGGATCACAATGAAGGCTGTTAACCATGGGAAGTCTGAGGCTCATAATGCAACCTCACTTTTCCACAGGTATTAACTTACATGATCTTTCTGCCTTGACACTGGTCTGAAGTTAAAATTTGGTTGCTTCCTGTTAACTCTTCACAAAGTGATCTTGGGTGGTAAGGCATTAATTATTTCCTAGACCTGACTCTGTGTAGACACCTTCAGGATCCAAAGCAATTTACTCTTTAGGATTCATTTTTACCAACCTGGCCATTTAGAGTAAACCATATCTAAATAGATTGAACTTATTCAGGACCAAACTGGGCAATATAACTTCAAAGTGCTCAAGTTTTAAAGTAATATGCAAGTGGAAGAGCATTTTTATGTGTTATGTTTTCAATGTGGTGTGTCTCCCAAAAGCTCACATGTGAGACAATGCAAGAAGATTTGTAGGAGAAACCTTACACTAATCAGTGAATTGTTACCTGGTGGGATCAACTGAGTGGTAATTGGAGGCAGGTGGGATGTGGCTAGAGGAAGTAATTCATTGGGACATGGCTACAAGGTATACATTTTCATCTGAGAATGGTGTCTCTCTCTCTTCCCTTCCTGGACACCATGTGAGCTACTTCCCTCTGCCACACTCTTAAACTATAATATTCAACCTTACCTTGAGCCCAAGGGAATGAAGCCTACTGTTTATGGATGAAGACCTCTGAAACATGAGCCCCTAAATAAACTTCTCCTCCTCTATAGTTGTTCTGGTCAGGTCCTTTTTAGCCACAGAGCGAAAAAGCTGACTAAAACATTATGTTTCTCAGACTTATCCAGTTTTGGTCACTTACCTAGTCTAGGTGATGTTATCGTATTTACATTAATCTTCTCATTGCAGGGCTGAAGGTGGCATGGCCTATATGCTGCAGGTTTTTCTGAAGAAAAACATTCATTTCCATGTCTTCCTGTGATCTTATGCATGCACTGGATGACCCGGGACTGCATTCCTTTGCCACAGGTAATTGAGCACTAAGAGAGATACAAGGTTTGTTAAAAGTTCTTTTGCTGTTTCCCTTTCCTACACCATTAGCCATATTTTCTATATATTTCTTAAAAATCAATCATAAGCATCAACATCCAGAAACAATGCAAAATATGAGTCAGAAACATAGATGCTTGCCCATAAAACTTGGGCACAATATTGCTAAGAACCTCTGACGTACCTAGGGCAGAGCTCTGGGTATTGAAGGACATTGAAGAGTAATAAAGAAAATTAGAGAGTATGGCTTGAAGGGAAAGAGAGTGAATGACACCAGAAATGCTTGGACAGACAGTTTTTAAAGATCTAAGATTTAAATATAAGAAGCAATACAAATAATTAAATGCTGTGGAAGCTGAGCAATTTTACATATTCTTAGCCAACTGGTCAACATTTAAATAATGAGTTGCCCTACAAAGCTACTGTTTGCTTCTTTGGGATCAAAGCAGTACCCCTTCTGTAAGCTTTGATTCCATACAATACTAATAGTAGTTAGCACTTATTTGGCATTTATTATATGCCAGGCACTTGAGTTAGAGGTTATATTTACTTTAATATCTCACAGGATGCCCATGAGTACTATTATTATCCCTTTTAAACAGATGAGAAAATAGAGTTTCAAATAAGTTAAACAAATTGTCCAAACTTTTACAGCTAAAAGGTGCTAGAATTGGAGTATGAACTTAAACATACGAATTCCAAGTTTGGATACCTAAGCAGTACTTGATACTGGCTGATGGCTAATGTTCCTCTTCTGGTGAAACAGAAATCTTTTCTTTTCCTCCATCCTATCAAATTTATCCTTTATCTTCCTTTCTTACTATTAAGCTAAACAATGAACTAGAAGGTTTTTTTGTGTTTTTTTTTTTTGCTTTGTTTTGCTAAAATTCAGGTTACGTAGCATGAAATAAATTATTCTGCCACGATTCATATTGCCTCATGTTTAGATAGAGTAATCATATAATTTGTTACCAAATCAAGCAATTATGGAAGAAATTGTTGATGATAATTATTCCTAAACTATAAACATATAATGAGGCAGTCTTGGGAAAATTAGGATAAACAGTCACCCTATTTGCAGATCACCTAACAGATCTATGATATACAGTCACCCTATCTACAGATCACCTAGAAGATCCATGTATTAAACAATAAACACAAATGAATGGCATGTGAAATACCTCATATTTTCTGGGCATTATCTAGTATGCATTTTTAGAGAACACATTTATTCATAATGCAAAGAGTGAGTCACATGCAAATTAGTTAACTCATTCATTCAACATGCCTGTTCAAGAAGCTGACATTGTGCCAAGCACTGTTCTAGATACTAGGATGTGAGAGTCACAAAACAGAAAAGAACAAATACCCTTGAGAAGCTCACATTTTCATGATCAAGGGAGGAGCAAAAATATAAAGAGGTAAAATATAAGTATTTTACATAAGATAGAAGTATTTTACATGTCAGCAGGTATGATGAAGAAGAAGAAAACTTAGAATGGGGAAAGTTTGGGAAGGATTGTTTGCCATTCAAGTAGTATGACCAGGGAGAGATTCATGGAGAAGGTGACATAGGAGAGAGCAGTCTATCATAGACGTCTTTTGATTCCAAATACTATGTTCTTTCCATCATATGTAATATAAACTTTTAATTTATATACCTGTGGGCTTCGGTCTCTCTACTGTATGCACTATATGCTTTCATCTATATAATTGGGGCCATGATTCTCCTAGTTGCTTAATATGAAGGGTGAGTACCTGGAGTGTTTCATCAGATTCTGGATCAGTTTCTATCCCCGCTTGCCCGGCCTCACTCTCCTTCCTATCTTTCAGTCTTGCTTTCCAGTAAATTTGAATCTTGCTCTTCACATATATATCAAGTAAATTGAAAATGTATCTGAAACAAGGCAGCACTGTAGACTTTCGCCAAAGGCCAAAATACTGAAATGTCAACATCAATTTACCAGCAGCTGGTAAAGAAATACCAGATAACTTGCCATGGATATATATTTTTTTTTTCAAGGAAAAATTGCTGACTACAGTATTTTAAAAAGACAGCCTTGCATTGTCTGAAAAATATTCTGTTGCCCCGAAGGACCTTTGCAACAAAACACCTCATGAATGAATTCATGAACTAGAAGTCTTTCATTCTGCCCAGGAAACAGTCCTGATATTCCAGGTTTACTAGAGTAAAAAGGAAGTAGTAATCTTTAAAAGAAACTAAAACAGGTTAGAAAATTGTTTAATAATTTTAGAGCGCAGGAGATTGATTTTTTTTTTGTCAGAGATAATAAGGCACAAGGAAAATCAATGTTAGTAAATCCCTCCTTCCCCTCTAAATATAAGCCCTCAAGTCTCTGAAAATAAAATTTGTTTTGACTTGGTGATATTTCATGCTACCTGAGAAAATTATAATCTTCCTTATACTTGGATACTCATGAGTGATATATTGAGATAATCTCAACTTATGTTTCTCTAATAACAGAATAGATCTTTTCTTGCCTTGGGAATTAGTGACAATTTCTAAGGCTATATTATATAATATCTGCACTGTAGCTTGCATGTTAAACACTAACTACAATAAGAAAAATCTGCTCAATATTTTGAATAGTTTGGAATATCAAAATGATTAGAGGAATAGTTTGGGAAAGGAGATCCACACATCCAAATGTCAGCAAATCAACCTGGTAATAACAATAATTCATCTCCCTTTAAAATGAGATAGACATCATCAAATTTTATATCACTTCCATTATTTAAATCTCTACTTTATTTCTGTGATTCTTATGCAATTTTATAAGAGTTGATTGATTTGATTTTGCCAAAGAAAATTTTATCAAAAGAAACTAATATAAAAGGATCCATGTGGGGAAGAATATGCAATGTCCTAGTTTGTGGAAATACAGAGTAAGTTTTACTTATCTCAGATGTTATATTTTTTTTAATGAAAATGACCAAGCATGCTCTAGTAATTGACACAAAGGTGAACTTTGGGGAAATTATTTCTGCCAAATTAGATGACAGCATTGAGAAGAAAGGGTCTGCCCATACTGACAAAGAAAGGCCAATATGTCAGAATGATTTAACGAGTTTATAGATTTGTTAAAATATAGACAAATGATAGAAAGTAGAAATTTTTAGAAAATAAAAACAATAAAATTCTTAATAAATGCTTAATTGTGACATCAAAAAAAATTTAAAAAGAAGGGGCGAGATGAATTCTGCATGCCTATGAAGTCCAACAGTTGGACAAGGCAAAGTGTAAAATCCTCTTTTCTATTATAGAAGATAAAAGAATTGTGAAGCACTGACAGACAGTTGAACTGCAGCAAGAAAATGAACATGGAGGTTCACTCGTAGAAAGTGTGATGAAGATCTTGAATGAACCCCTGAACACCCTGTAGGTGTTCTCAAGTAATGACCATTTACTTGGAGACATTTATTGCTCTCATAGTTTCTGTATGTTCAAAAGCAGTCAGTGCATGCTGCTGAACAACTGTAGTCTGATGAAATGAAAGTTTCTGAAATCTGATCTGATACATTTTAGAAATGGAGGATGATTAGGTCTAAGTCATGGTATAATTAGATGGGATAAATAACTTGTTGAGGAAGCAAGTGCTAAATAGAAGATATCAATGTACTGTGTTGCTAAGAGTCAATTATTTTACATGGAATATTCCTTTTTCAATATATTTAAATGTTTATCAAAAATTCCACATCTTTTGCTGGGCATGGTGGTGCATGCCTGTAATCCTAGCAGCTCAGGAGGCTGAGGCAGGAGGATCTCGAGTTCAAAGCCAGCCTCAGCAACTTAGTGAGGCCCTAAGTAACTCTGTGAGACCCTGTCTCTAAATAAAATACAAAAAGGGCTGGGGATATGGCTCTGTGGTTGAGTATCTCTGAGTTCAATCCCTGGTACCGACCCCCGCCCCTGCCCCTGCCAAAAAAAAAAAAAAAAAGTCCACTTCTTTTAAAAATAATGTATATGTATTTTCCCACTGTTTCTATGAATACTATTTCTTTAGTGACTCACTAAATACTATTGAATGGTAACATACTCTGAAATATACTGAAATGTGTAAAACATGTTTAATCAAAGAAAAGAGGCTATAAACACACCAATGAACAGCCATCTACAAATCTGTACAGTGCCCAAGTAAGGAAGAAAATGGTTACCCACAATTCCCGTAGGTTCTTCAATGGTTATCCCTAGTACAATTGGAATCTACTTTTATAAAGTATAAAATTTTCTTTCTGCCATTGAAAATTCATAAAGCATGTAGGAATTTCCATAATTGCTTATGGCATAATCTATTTCTTGCCGTATCTGTCAAATTCACCAAAGAACGTTGCTATCTTCTAGACTAAGAAGTAATTCTTGTATTTCTGGACAACATACTTGGAGCCCTAATGGGATATACAAAAACACCACTAACCACTCTCACTTTTAGAAAGGAGACATTTATTCCTTTCACTGGTATTTGATCCTTGTGTTGCTTCCACACCTGTGGACTCTGAAATCCAGGAGATCTATTCATATGCGGATGTCTTACAGTCTTGCTATCTAGTAAACAGTCAACAATCAGCATGTTTTTCTTTAACTGGCATGGCCAGCTATGCTTGAATTGTGACACTGAATATTACAATTCTTCTATTGTAGAAACAAACATTTCTTTATGCTTCTCAAAATGAATGTGAAAGAAAGAACTATAAAAATATTAAATTGAAGTTTATGATAGGAACTCTCTAACTGGCTTTTAATACAAAAGAACTCAAATGAAAAAAAAAAAGCATTACATACTTTAGTAGTAGAAAGGAATGTTTCCTGAAAAAGCAATTTGAGATTTTACTTTAAGTACATCATCTTGAAAATATATATTGAAATAATCACTAAATACTGTTAGCTAGTAACTATTGTTACATAATATGTTCTATTTTTTTTGCATTAAGTTATGGTTTGAAATAGTATGTGAGTTTGAACACAGGGTTA